GAGCGGCGCCGAAAGGAGATGAGTGACTACTCACCCCAGTCGGCTGTGGTTCTTGCATTTGCCGTTCGGCCGCACAGGAGCAATGACACCCTGAACCTTTATTTGCAGCTTTGAAATGAGCGCGTTTAATTAGTAGCGAAGGAAGCTGCTACAAGACCATATTGAAATATGTTGGAATATGTTGGAATCATATGCGTTTTTTCATTGGGGGCGTTGTTGGCGGCTAATTTGCTCAGCAGGGCATTGGTCGGTATGGTCAGTGATAACCTGAAAATTGAAGATCCCTTGACTCCACTGACATGAGTAGACTCTTTTGATCTTGCGCACCTGTTTGCGGGACGGACCATTCGCACTCAGCCATCTCTGGTCTTGGTCAAGCCTGCCGTGGCTCCAGTGGCCAAGATTTCCAAGGCTCCAGTGGCCTGCCGTTCGGAGAGGCGATGACTATGTTGCGCAAACCGGTGGAAGATGTTGCGGAGCTGGAGCTTTGTGACAGGATGCTGGAGCGCTTTCAGAAGACGCCACTGGAGCCTTGGTGGCAGATGTGGGGAGAGAACAGTCTGATCAGGTTCATCGGGGTGGGGGAACGGTGGGGGACTGGTGGGGATGCTTTTCAAGACAGTGAGAATGAGGTTCCCATGACCTTGGACACGCCGGACTCTCTCCCTCTAACGGCGGATTTTGGGGGAACTCAGAGGTCTTTTGCTTAAAAACCTCAGGAACTCTTAGCGCCCATCTTCGCCTCGCTGGAGGAGCCACCCGCACCTGGGATGGACCCGGATTCGGAAGGCTGACCTACACCGCTTCGTCGGGCATGGGACGTGTAGCAAATGATCAGTTCGTGTCGTGTAATTCCTAGATTTGCCCGACGCGACGCCACGCGCAGACCACGCGCGGTGCCCATGAGACGGCCACACAGTAGTGTGTTTCGCAGCTTTTTTCCTGAAATCACAAAGTTCAATTATGTTGAATTCACTTAGGCCTACTTAGGGTACACTGAGGGTGGTACACTGTCTTGTTGTGCACACCCCTGGATGCAACATGTCTCATGTTCTCACTGCCGTAGAGCTGCCACCCAATAGCTCCCACCCTACCCAGCCCCAGACACTCCCGACTTACGTGTAGTTTGATGTGACCGACCTACGTTTACTACATTGGTGTGGTTGATCCATCCCTGGACAGACCGACCCTACTGGCACCCACCCCTGGCCCACCGAGCCTTGGGGAATGTAGGCATGGGGATTCCAGTCCTACGGAGTGGACGTGAGGGTTTTCTCAGCTTCGAGAAACAAGGACAGCACCGGCTACGAGCTCCGTGCGCTGTGTCAAGCCCACATGACGCGCTTTGAGACCGACACGGTTCTCGGCCCTGAGAAAGCCTGGGCATCCGCTGAGCAGCTGAAACGCTTCGAAGAAAAGGCTTAACAAATGATAACCAACAAATGTCAAGAGTGCGCATCGTCGTAAGATGCCATGACTTTATATACCCCTTGGCTTCGTTTGGTGGACATTGTTGGCCCTGTTTGGTGTTCACTCCATGTTTTCTTCTCCTTGCTTGCTGATTCACAGCTACAGCTACACACCATGAGACATACCCTGCTACAGCTGGTCCAGGAGACATTCAAGTCAAACGAACCCACACCCAGACACGACCAGTCTGGGACTGCCATAGGACTGCCGTCCCATTGACCCCCCAAACTACTCCAATTGATCGGCAGTCCTATGGCAGTCCCATGGAGTGTTTGGGACAGACTGCTTCGCCACACTTGCCACTTTTGCGAGAGGTCCGCCGCGCGACTCACGAGGTGGAGGAGGGGAAGGGGAGGTCAGGATCCGGATTTGCTTGGGGCCCTGGGGTTTGTCGATGTTTAGGCTAGCCATGGATAGGCGGCGTATTGTTGTGTGCGTTTGGTGTTTGTTTGTGTTTGGTAATCCCCCCAACTGTAGTGGGTTTTACTTAGTTTTACTTACCCTATAAATGTGGAAACATGTGGAACATGTTCCAATCAAAAATTGCAACATGATTCTTGTTGTGGCATGTTGTGGCCATGCCCAAAAACAAACAAGTCACGGGATACGTTAGGACTTCAGGATCTTTGACAGACGTGTGGAGCATCCGGATGAGGACGGTCCATCAACCATGGAGGGATGGCTTCGAATGAATACAAAACAGGACCTTGTCCCTCGCATTTTCTCGCATTCTGTTTCGCATCCAATTGGCAGCCCCCAATGCACCAACCAACACCGCCTCCTTTCGAACAGTAGGATTTGCTCGACCGAGAGGACTTGGGAGCTCGGGTGCCACAACCCTTGCCTTCCCTGTGGCGAGCTGGAAGCTGAACGATTCTTCGGTTGACGGGCACTTTTTGACCCCAAACATCGAAAAGGCGATGCTTCATGCCTCATGATACTAATGCCATCGGACATAATGCTGTCAAGACATGTCAACACCATATTTGCTTAGAGACGAGGTATGACGAGGTTCGACCTTTCGTTTGAGCTTAACCCTTTTTGGTTCCCCTGGCGACCAGTCCGCCAAGACCCAAGAAGCGGCCACAGCACCAAATGCCGAATGAAACCGTTGTCCAAAGCGAGCGGAGTTGGAACTGTCTTCCGGAACTGGTTCGGACTGGACGAAGAATGGGTGGTTCTGATTGGAAAGCCACCAAGATCCAAGTCATATGGTCCGTGCCAATATGTCATACTTGGCAAAAGGAACTGGTTCGATGTTCGACCTAGGTGTCGGTTTGCGTCATGTAACGTGTACACCCTGCGCTGCAAGAGTCAAAATTAACGATATTTAACGAGCGCTCATTTGGCCAAGGGTGTTTGACTACATGTGACATATGATGTTAACTTTGCAATAATTAAATAAATTACACGCCTATATCAACAGCGATGTATTATGTATTGTTTTGTTCCTATGTCGCTCGTCCGAGGGCGAGTATGAGCTGAGCCTGGAACTCAGAGGAGTTGGCGCTGAAACGCGGGCAACGCAGGAACTTTTTTTTTTGTATTGTAGACTGTTGGTAAACAACCCCCCTACCAGCGTGGGTTTATTTGAAGGGGACTTGGTCGGGGTTCTTTGTCCATCGACAGTCTACATTAGGGGGCCCATGTTTCAAGAGAACCATGCATTAATTTTGGCTCACTGGGACGGCTTTGCTGTCGTTTCATGCCCAGTGCCAATGAAACGACAGAGCACAAAAGATGCCAAGATGCCTTATGGCCTTATGCCAGCTTTATTAAATGCTTTCTTTTGGAGGCTTGCACATGAAGTTGTAGCAAAGGTTCAAGATGAAAGCTTCTGGAATCCTCCAGAGCCTCCAGAGCCAAGTATGGGTTTTCTTATTGTCCAGTAGTGACGTTCATTGGCTTGCACCCCTTCCCACATGGCGCGGCGGGCACGGGTCATGAGCCGAGAAAACGATCCGTCAAGTAGACTCTTTGGGCAAGTTAGCCACTTCGCTTCAGGTGGCCAAACTTTCACTCATTATAGGGATATATAGGGACGATAGTACGGACATGTACGGACTATAGATTTCATCAGTATGGATCAAGGACTTGTATCGCAACTCATCCCAGGGACCCACTCAGGCGGAACATGCCAAAGAACAGTTTTTTTTGTTGGTCAACCAGTTCGTTCAGTATCAAGACTGCTGGTTTGACTCCCCCTCAATGATCAGCAATTGTTGGTTCATACACCCTTGCCAGCAACTGTCGCCCTTCTTGAGGAACTCAGAATAGTCTAGCATTCATTCTGTGCCAAAAAAAGCGATGCACATGTCACTGGAGGGCCCGACGTCCGCGGCGCGGTCTCTAGGCCCTCACGGCCACGAGCTCGGAGGTGGTGCTTTTGCCGAGGCACCGAGTCGGTCGGTCCGTCGACTCGCAAATCCGAGACCCCCTCCCTACTGCAATCCGATCCCTTGCAGTGGTGTATGATAGTGTATGATGGTGTGAATGTTATACCGTTATACCCCATGTTGTGGATGTCTCAACGAACAAAGATCGTTCAGCTAGAAAGAAACATCAGAAGACATTGGATTCTTTTCAGGAGAGTTGGCTTGCTCCAGTTAGTCTCAACATGGCCATCCGCGATTCATCGCGATTCTCTGGATTCTGCCCAACTACAGTGGTTTCAGAGTAGATGGCACAATCCCCAAAAGGTGGTTTAGATGGACCTCTATATAAAACACATCTTGGGGGTTGTGTGGCATCTACTCTGAAACCACTGTAATGGAAAAAAAGGCATTGAAAAACACAATGAAAGCACTGCCTCGACCTGAACAGCTGCCTCCCGGCCCCTGCTCGATCCGTCAACCTGCTCGATCCGCAAGGTCTTTCGAGTGCAGCACCGCAGGACCTCTCGGAATTTCGCGGTGAAGGCTCCCGATGAGAGAATCCGGAGCAACCGAGCCCCTCACAGGAAGATAGACCAGCCATTGGGTCTTGGGCCAATCGGGTCTCCCTATAGTTGAATACACTCTCAGATTTCAACACAACACTTGCCCCTCATCAACCAGTATCAAGCATGCAGCTGACAAGGGGTTAGGACAAGGCGGTTGTCCTCTTGCTCCGAATGATTGTCGTTATAGGCAGCCCAGTAGGCAGCCCCAGTTACCACTGCGGTTTGGCTTCGGTCCTGTACTGTTTGTTGGCCAGTTACATGGTCGCTGGGGTATCGTTCCTGTGCTCACAGTGCGGCCGCGCCGTCAGGCTTCCCAGATCATAGGTAGGTCACATGTCAGATATGCCGAAGACATGCCGGAAGAATTGAATAATCACAACAAACAGTATGAAGGGTTACTGCAGCAAGTCATCAATGTCTGCTCTGGCCTTTGATCCGATCAAGATCTTCCAGCTGTTGGGGTCCCACCCGCCAGCCGAGTATGATTCGGCGGGTCGCTTCACAAATGGCCATGCTTGGCCTGATCTTACTTTCAATGATGGCGCTGAGTCGCTTGGGTTGAAAGTCATGTCAGAACTCAGGAAGACGAGCAATTTCTATCCCAGGTTTTTCTTGATCAGTTCCTTATTTTTTGGCTTTGCGAAGCCGGTGTTTCCTGGTGGCTTGCAAACTTGCAAACTCGCTTGCACTGCTTCTTGTGGATACTATTGCTTGGCTAACGCATCACAGCCTTTTCTCGGCGTTTCGAGTCGATGCTCACCTTGCTTTTAACATACAGTTACACAATAATGCAGCATGCCGAGCTGGATCAGATGATGGTTGAGGCTGAGCATGCTAACCCAACCCTTGACGCTGCTAGCCATTTCTCCAGCATATGGTATATATAAATGTTGACATAGTATGGGGGCCCTTAGCATTTAGGTTACCTTCAGTCACTCTAGACCCTCATGTTTTGGATCTTTTTCCACCTTCGTGCCCAGACGGCGCTTGGATCCAAAAAAACGCCCGGACCCTCAACGTTGTGTAGGGGCTGAATTGGAAGGCTTCATTCGCGCTTGCCGCTTGCCAAGCAAGAGGATATACAGTGGTTTCAGAGTAGATGGCACAGACCTCAAGATGTCCTTTACATGGAGGTTCATGTCATATAAACCACCGACATTGGGGTCTGTGCCATCTACTCTCAATCCACTATAAATAATACAGCTGCTAGTGCACCTCCATCGCCGTACCATTGGCCTTTGGATTCACGCACAAAAAAGACTCGAACACCACTGCGAAAACCACTGCTACGACATCAGCGTTCTATCGGAAAGGCATCTAACAATGACCCAGGCATGACTAAGACAGCATGACATCCAGGGCGCAGGGGGTATCTGTTCTTAGCCTTAGAGGTTGTCTATTAACCAGCCCTTGGGGGTCCTGGATTGTATGTTTTTTTCCTGTTTTGCTTGTGGTCAGGCTCTTTGATTTGCCATTAGTTGCGATTCCGAGGTGGTTTTCACCGATCCTTCCTGTGCATCGATGCGCGGGTTCAGCCGCCCCGGGCACAAACGCCTGCGACCTTGCAGGAGCTGCCACAGATGCCTCGAGCATCTCTCGGGACAGAGTGGAGCTCATGGGCTGCCACCGGCCTGCTAGCAGCTGGTGCCGCGGCATTGGCATGGAGGTCTCAGGCTCGTGATGACTCCTCCACTACCATGTATGGTGGACATGACAAGCGCACCTTTCGCGGGAAGTTGCATGCTCACACCTTCGGGAAGTTCCGCCTGAGAAAGGGCAAGAAGAGACGCATCAAAGCCATCAAGAATGGCACGTTTGATGCGAGCAAAGTGGTGCAGAGAGGTCAGCCTGAACCAGAACACCCATGGGATCTCGACAACTTGATCGAAAACCCGAATCCTGAATGCGTTGAAGGATTATTTTCACAGTTTCATTTGCTTTTGTCGTTGGGTGTGCTGCGGGTGTTATTCCCAGGGTTGGTCATGGTTGCATATGTGTGAGTGAGTGTTTTGTGTAGTGTAGTATGTAGTTCGTTACGCCTTGCAAACATGTGTGTGCTGTGACTTGCGTTTCTATAGGCTCTACTATGCACCGGACTATTTCACGGAGGTGCTCTATGATTATTGGGGTGATGTCAACGACAAGATGCGCGAGAAGTGGCAGGAATACATGGGTGTAAAGGGCAACCAGAGATATTTCAAGAACTGGAGCCCGCCTGAAATGAATGCATGAGTTGCACGGTTGGCGGAAAGGAGTTTGTAGCAGTTGCCAGTGAATAGGTGAAAAACGTAGGCGGGTTATTGTTTCAGACGAACACCCATGATTTCTTTTGGGGGTGAGTTGTGTGTGTGTGGTATGCTGTTGGTTTGCTCCAAGAAGCGCTTGTGGAATTCCATGTGACTTTTGTACCGGTCCGTCAACGGTACATCTCTTGCGGCGGGACCTGGGGACGGAACACCTGCACGAGAAGATGTAGCAGTTCTTGAAGATAGCATAGTAAAGATTAGTAAAGACATAATGTTGGATCATGTTGGGAATGTTCCACAATGGAACACGTTTTTCTGGTTCTCCTGCAAGACATGTGGGCTTGTGAGCCCGGAAGATCGACACTACATGTATCCCAGTTTACTTCTGTTTTCCCAAGCACAGTGAGAGGAGACAAGGAGGGCAGTCGAGAACGAGTGAGTAGTGTTGACTGTGGATGATCTAATAAACTCCCCAATATATGGAGGTACCATCCAGGTTGTGGGGGGTATCAATCAACAGTCAACATGCCGCACTTGCTTTGGGCTGACATGCTTGTTTGACAGTTTTAGACACTCTGCACTCCTAACCCCACCTGGAAGGTAGAGGTGCGAACGCTCCCCTGGTCCCCCTGGCAGTCGGGTTTCCCGCTGATGGCTTATGGGGTCGAACCGATCACTGCATCGAACCGAGCATTGCTCTTGGGAAAGACAACTCCTTAGCATGCAATCTTATTTACAGCCTTCGGCATGCCGCCGGCCACTAGCTCGAGCCCGCATTGGCAGGCAGCCTAATGATGCTTATTAACAGTGTTCCACAGTTCTATTTTCGTTCCAAGGCAGGGACAAGATCACCTCTTCTAGGCTGAAGCAGCTATATAATCCGGCACGTCTCTTTGATTCAACTCGCTTTTTCCTGTTCTCGCCATGGCCTAGTCTGAAGCAACCGGGGCAGGGCAGGCTGTCGAAACATCCGCGCGGAGAAGCAAACCGTAGATTGAAACCAACCGTAGATTGAAACCAATGGAAACCAACACAAGCCAGACGAAGCAAGACAATCCACAAAGCCGGTACTTGAAAATGAGTCTTCTTCTAAACTACTTGGCCTTTTGCATGTTTTCCTTGTCAGATCTTTTTTTCGACCGTCTTGAGGAATTGCGAGTCGCACAAGATATTCTTTTTCACATACAGAAGGCTTCAAAGCGACCGAAGAATTTCTTGATCTGGCATGATTTGTCGTTTTTTCTCCAAACCGTTCGAAATGAAAGACCCAGAATGACGTTGAGCAACAATACCCTGCTCAATCATACTTGTTGGAATCTTGTTGGTGCATTGGAGTTGCACATTTGGCTGGGTGAGTTTGTTGATGTTTATTTCAAGGTTGTTTGACCATGAAATGGAACGAATCCGAATCAGAGGTTGTCTATTCTGATCCAGCGATCCGAACCGGCATGTCTCAGTCGAATCACCTAAGAGGAACCAATTGAAACCAACACAAGCAATGCGAACCAAGACTATCCACAAAACATGACCTTGAAAACGATTCTTCTTCCAAACTACTTGGCCGTTTGCATGTTTTCCTTTTCAGATCTTTTTTCCGACCGTCTCGAGGGATTGCGACACGCACCAGATATTCTTTTTCACACACAGAAGGCTTCAAAGCGAGCGAAGAATTTCTAGATCTGGCATGATTTGTCGTTTTTTTCTCCAAACCGTTTGAAATGAAAGACCCAGAATGACATCGAACAACAATACCCTGCTCAATCAGACTTGCAGACTTGTGGGTGCATTGGAGTTGCACATGTTTGTTGATGTTGATTTCAAGCGAAGTCGTTTTACAATGAAATCGAACGAATCCGAATCAGAGGTTGTCTATTCTGATCCAGCGATCGACATGTCTCAGTCCAACCACTTTAGACGTAGAGAGAAGGGGGAGGGGGGGAGGGGGGGGGGGGCGTCAGGCTGTCGAAACATCCGCGCGGAGATACAAACCGTAGGTTGAAACCAACACAAGCAATACTAACCAAAACAATCCACAAAACACGCCGGCAGGCCGGCGGATTCAGCACCACGGAAGGGGTGGTGACCGGATGGAACCACCCGAACTCCGTCAGGGGTGTCCATAAACCACCTGGATTCTGTATTGCTGGACGCTTCCCTGTTCCAACGTTAAGAGGATACATCTCATGGCAGAGCTCTTCAAACAGTCTATGTTTATGCCTCTATGCTCCATAGATCCCGCATGGAACAGGTAGTAGGGCAACTGAGGGGACCCTGACAGGCTTGCCCCTGAGAATCTGTTCGTTTCCGTTGATGAGTGTTCCAAGCTCGGCCCACCAACCCCGATTAGCATCCAAAGCCTCCAAACCGCAAAACGCTTGGAAAAAGATGGATGAAGGATGTGCGTCTCACAGGAAGTGGGAAGGAAACCCGTGAGAAACGCGAGGATTTGTGAATTTTAGGAGTCATCCTGGAGAGGAATGCTTGTTTCTTATGATGGGCCACACCTCATAGAACATGCCATGCTTTTGTGAAAACGGTTCTTTTCTTGAAGGGAGGTTTGTTTAGTTTTTTTTGTGTGTGTTTTTCTCAACGTCAAAACGCCCCGGGGGCTCTCTCAATGCTGCTAAAACCATCCAACACCATTCCTTGTCATTAACACGGAGAGACCGCTAGATTATGTGAGTGCTTTCGAGTTTTATTTGTTCTCCCTGTACATTGATAGACCCATCAAGCAAATGTTGGGGAACATGTAGTATGTTTGGGGGACATGCTTCAGGGCATAGAGAACATGACCTCCAAATTTGTCAGAGAGAGAAAGAGTGTGTGTGAGTGTTCGTTCGCATAGTGGGTTCCGGGAGAACAGGGCTAAATAGAACACTTGAGCAAAATCACAGTGGTTTGAACCATCTCTATTTCGAGTTACAGTAGGACATGATAACATGATATATCTTTGACACGTCAGGACCTTAAATTTTTGGCCTTGGACAGATCATTTTTCCCGCCTTCTGCGCATTCTCCGCACCCGCCCGCCCGAGCTCGGTGGATCGAGCGATCCGCAGATCGAGCGCCATCACCGGGTCGCAGTGAGCGCGTTGGCTCGCGCCGCGTTGGCTCGCGCCGGTCACGGCCATGGTGATGCTCGTCACACGGCGAAAGGTGTGACTTGGTGGCGGAAGGTGGATTGGGAGAGGGGAGTTGAGTGGCGTGTCAGGGTATTTCTGCATAGTTCGGAAGAATTTGTAGACTTCTTGTAGATTATTAATGTAACTAGATTCTAAAATATACGTGGATATAGGTAGCTATAGAGGCATGCGGCGGCAAGCTGGATTCTTTCGGGTCATTCTTCTAGGGCATCAAACCACAACATGACACCCGAAGGACCTTTCAACCCCACTCGATACCGCAATTAGTCACAATGCAGTGGTAAAATGTGCCAGTCATATCCAGTCAAGTGGACGGTCAGGTGTACGGAGACATAGGATACATCATGATACATCAAGTTACTCCAATAGTCATGGAATAGACATAACCCACCTGTGTCCGGTTTCTATAGAGGAACATAGTCATCCTTTAGGGGCGATGCCATTGGCTTCAACGCATTTTGTTTGGTCGGGTCATCCGCGAGGTGTGTCCTGCTAGCAGCTGTGGCGATCGGGAGTCTTCACCGATCCTTCCTGTGCATCGATGCGCGGGTTCAGCCGCCCCGGGCACAGACGCCTGCGACCTTGCAGGAGCTGCCACAGATGCCTCGAGCATCAACTCTCGGGACAGAGTGGAGCTCATGGGCTGCCACCGGCCTGCTAGCAGCTGGTGCCGCGGCATTGGCATGGAGGTCTCAGGCTCGTGATGACTCCTCCACTACCATGTATGGTGGACATGACAAGCGCACCTTTCGCGGGAAGTTGCATGCTCACACCTTCGGGAAGTTCCGCCTGCGAAAGGGCAAGAAGAGGCGCATCAAGGCCATCAAGAATGGCACGTTTGATGCGAGCAAAGTGGTGCAGAGAGGTCAGCCTGAACCAGAACACCCATGGGACTTCGACAACTTGGTTGAAAACCCGAATCCTGAACTGTGCGTTGAAGGATTTTTTTGGGGGGGGGCAGGCAGTGTCATTTGCTTTTGTTGGGCTACGGGTGTTATTCCCAGGGTTGGTCCCGGTTGCACAGGTTGGAGTGAGTGTTTTGTGTATTCTTAAAGCCTTGCAAACATGTGTTTGGACTTGCGTGTTTATAGGATCTACTATGTACCGGACTATTTCAAGGAGGCGCTCTATGATTATTGGGATGATGTCAACGACAAGATGCGCGAGAAGTGGCAGGAATACATGGGCGTAAAGGGCAACCAGAGATACTTCAAGAACTGGATCCCTCCGGGTATGGAACCTCCTCCTCCTGCGAAGCCTGAGCCAACACCTCCAAAACCAACAACACCAAAGTCAGATGGAGGGGCACCAGAAGAAAAAGCTCCTAAGACTAAGAAGGAGGAGGCTCCTAAGCCAAAGGCAGAGGAGAAGCCAAAGGCAGAAGAGAAGCCAAAGGC